AGCATCATGTCAAGCTTTGTGCTTTTCAGTCAATACTAGCACTGGGAACATGAACTTTGGTTGTTTTACCAATGCACAGAACAAGGGAACTGCAAGAGTCAGAACTTTAGCCAATATTCCCAGTAAGAGTTTACAGAGAGTTATTCATGAGCTCCTGTTTCTTTCAACTTATACCTGAAACACATGCACAGAAGTGTTGCCCAACTCCTGCTCTCTGCTACAGCCATGACCATCCCCATTTCTAACCCACACATACACCTGTGTCCTGGTCCAACCCCAATCCATCCCCCAGTAACTGTTACACAACAATGGACCTTTGCTGCTGTTCAAACTGAGAAAAAGCTCTGCTGAGTTGTACACAGGAATGGCTTCTCATCCACAGACTTCTGAGGCAGAAGATGCCAAAGTTAGTGAAATTACCTGTGATCTGGAAGCCTGTGCAGAAATGAACATTCCTCCAGCCTGAACCAAAACTGGAAATCCAGGAACACACAACATTTTTCTAAAACAGTTTAATTAAAAAAATCGTGAAGTTACTTAAAAACCTGGAGAAACCCAAAGCATATTGTGTGTGCCACCTGTCTTAGTCACAAAAAACCACAAGTGTCAAAAAAGATATTTAAGTTTAATACAAATTTTATACAAAGAAAATGTGAAAAAATACTTCCATATGCTAAAAGCAATTATGCTTCACAAATAAGGCCAGCTAGGCTAGTTTTGACACAACTGCAATTCACGAAGATTCTGTTCTCGCTTTTTTCTCTTCTAATACTTTTCCCCTCTACTCTGGGAACTAGCTGGAGACTGTACAAACCGCATTCGTTTATAAACAATGGGAGAAATCAACAGGACTAAAATGTACAACAATGTACTGGAATGATATCATACAATTAGTTTTCTCATATACATACATCACCTTTGCTTTGTTCGATGCTTTCGTTTTACACAACATACAAAATGGGACTACAGTCTGAGTGTAACAGCATCTCCAGGGGTTTCCTCTCGTACTGCACTGCTTCATGCTTACAGAAAAACAAACTCCATCATATAAATAAGACATGCTCTGGCCCAGCATTAAAAGTCCTTTGCCCATGTTTCCCCATCCGTGTTTTTCTCCACACCTAGTTCCTGTTCGAAGTTCTCTGGGAGGATTTTTAAAAGATAAGAGAACTGTGAAGCATAGGAACAAACTTTGCTTTCCTCAATCTTTGCCAGCAGTGATGAGAAGTCCTGCTACAACCAGCTGCTATTACACTTGCTAACGTTTCTGGTCTTAGAGTGAATGAAAGTTTTAAATCAAGTTTAACCTGTAAACAACACTGATGTTGTTGCCAGTCTGGTCACTGTGGAAAACAATGTCAATCTTTATGTATTTCAGGTCCACATATTGGAAATGTCACAATTTGCCTACTACAATTAACTGAAAAAAGATAGATATCCTTCATCACTTGGTTGGCCAAAGAAAGTCTAAAAGACTTTCAAAGTGCACAAATTTTTTCAATCCAAATGCAAAGAGAGTTGCTCAGATTCTCAGTACTGTGTTAGCAATGCACAACTGCAGTTTCCCAAGACCAGTTTTCAGCATTAGGTTGTGCTAAGGCTGTTTCAACCTTCCTTTTCCAACTTCAAACGCTCTTTATAAGTTAAAGTCAATACAAATATAAAAAGGAGATGGTGCTCTAATGACATCCACAAATTGTACATTATTTACAAAAGAAGCACAGATTTCACAGGGATCTTACCTGTCCTCAGCTTTTCTAAGCCAGCACTAATGCTTTACATCAATGTAGTGTAGTTAATGCTTTGTACACATACACAAAGCTAAAGTCTGAACCTCTGAGGTTAATCCAAAGAACTGTGTTTATTTTTTCACATTTCTATTAGATTTATTTATTCCAACAATTGTCTGAACTTCTTGTTAGCAGTTAGACTCTTCGTACTTGGACTGGCATTGTGGTCTGAACATACTGAACTCCAGTTCTCATTGCCACTGTCCCAGCAGAAGGACTTACCACTACAGGAATGGTCTGTGGATTAAAACCAAGAGAAACAGATTGTTATGTTAAAGGTCACATAAACATGACCACAGAAAGAGAGATTCCAGGGGAAATCCAGAACAAGTTCCAATTTTGTGCAAGAATTAATACCTTTATTACCGCAGGATTACCTCAGTCCAGGGGAGAAAGTAGTGTTTTACTTCCCTATAGCCAAGAGTTCTGTGTTCTCCTTACTGCTCTAGAATTACAGGGACAGGAGGTGCTAGAGGGACTGTACACACTGGCTGTGCTTGGAGAGTGAGGGTTTCAGAGTTACATCCAGTTATGTATTTTCTGCAAACTAATACGTGGGAAGAAGAAAAAGGGCTAAGAAAATCCTTTGTCATTTGAAAAAGCTTTGACAAATCAAACTGGAGTACAAAAATACCCTTGTTTATAAGTATATTCTTGTTACACATTACTTAAATCTTTTTCCCCAAAAGGAACTTTTCCCCCCATGCATTCAGTCTACACAGAAGAGAACAAAGAACATCAATTTAAACCAAAAAAAAAAGAAGAAAAAAAAAGTACTTAAGTTAACTTTTGCACAAATCAATAGCAAAAACATCAGCATTACTGGGAACTGTCTTATACACCCTGTAAAAATATTAATATAGAATAAACTTTTCACTTCCATCATACAGATCATGAATTATACATCTCGACAAATGGAGTTCCAGGACATCTCTATAGGTGGTAATTGATTCTACAGATGCAGAGACAAAGGCACAAGAATGTTAAACAATCTGGTCAAGGTCACATCACTCTGGAAAAATCTGTAAAAGGATTTATTGAACCTTAAGTCTGTATCTTAACCTTCCTCCAAAAATGTGAGAAAGTCTAGAAATGTCTCTACCATACAAGCTGCAAGTATGTTCCAACACAACTCCAGTGATGCACAACTGGTGATCAGACAACGCATCCATTTCAGTTCACAACATCTTGTGGAAGGAACAGGGAGTGAGATTTTGAGGAACCTGAAAGGGATGCACAGATCTTCCCCCAGTGGTAGTGTGACATTCCAAAGAGAACACGGAAGAAGAAATACAAGTTCACCGAAGCCCAACGTTCCCCCACACGGATTCAAGAAACCACGTGAGTGTCTTAATGGTATTCCACAAAGACTGTGAGTATCCCTGCTGAGATGGATTACAGCTCCTTTGTGACAGAGTCTGTGCCTTCCAGAAGCCTACTCATTCCATTCCCTGGAATGCAAAGATGATGGATTCATATTTTTACATTATTTTAACTGCAGAAAGAATAAAACCCAAACATGGAACCAATTTGCTAAATAAATTCAAGATTACTGCCATTTTGTAATGATTCCAGATGTGTACACAGGGTTCTATGGAAATGGCACCCAGAAGATACACTGGAAGTTGTTCAGAGGAAGAAATTCTTAGTTGGACACAAAGTGCAAACTGAATCCTAAAGAAGCCATTATGTAAAGTCACTGTCAGTACTACAGGTGGGGAAATCAAGGCTGCCACAGTCACCTTTTAAATATACACACTTACACACATGAAAAAAAAAAAAGTTTCAGTTCTTCGAGCGATCGGAATATGGAATGTGCGAGACTCCTTAAATGTGTTAAGATCATTCCCTGAGAGGTAAATTTTCCACCTCTGCCAGTTTTACACATATGTACATTTTGCATACATATCAAACATGCACTAAGGTTCCAAAGTATTTAAATTGCACGTGCAGTCATTAGAATACAGAGGTGTCTGTAGCTGTGCAAGACTAATGCAAATGTGTACAAAGTTATAAACATGCACAAATAAAGTTGGAAACCTTTCAGACCTTCCAATTCTGCTTTACAGAACTCAATACACTTTGTGTTACAGAAAACCAATGAAGGTAAACTGCCACTTTTCTGAGTATTACACAAAACCACCTTAGGATCTCACAACCTTGTAGCTACTCACAAAATAAAACCTAATGTCCTCAATGGCTGCTGTTGGATTTTAAAACACACACAAAACCTTGTTGTTAATGGTAACTCAGTCCAAGCAACTCTGGGCCAATGCTGCAAAGGTGCACAGTGCTCTCAGCTGAGACCAAGTGAGCTGAATGCTGTGAGGAATGTGGGAAGTTCTGAGCCCCACTAAGAGCAGTAACATGTGTGGGATATGATGCTGTGACTGTTTGTCATGTGTCTGTGTGTATCCACACACATAGTGTGCGTCCTGCAGCTGGTGGGGTGAGCACACAGAGAGAGGAACTTGTGTGGCACATCAGGCCCCACAGTCACAATGTAGTTAAGGTACACTGTTAAAATAGCACACAGTTACTGTTCTAAGTTACCTGACTGAAGTAGGAAATGATGTTACCCACGCATGGGTTTCCCTGCTGACCCCACCACTGAGGCAGTGTCATGCCCAGGGGCCTCACTGACTCTGATGTGAGCACTGCAGAGCATGACCAGTTAAAAAAATGGGCTATTTTGGTGGATAAAATACAAAAATCAAACTCACTTCTGTCCCACCTCCTGTGACTGACACTAAGGAATGTGAGTGTCCTGGGTTAAGCCTTTGCTGGAGAAAACCAGGTCTGATTCCAATGTGATCTCTCATCATTTCATGCTACTGTGCAAGATTGCATGGGAGAGACACTGCTGAATGCATATTGTCTTTCACAGGTACTGAGATGTCACAGGAATATCAAGCATAGCTCAGAATTAATTAAATCTCTTTAGGATACAATAAGACAAAAAGATATTTAAAAGATATTTAAAATGAATTCTATCTATTTACACTGAAGTTGTGGTCAAGTATATACACAGAACGGACAAAGAACTAACTCAGTAACGTGACATGGCTCTGCCTGTCCTCGGTGCCTTCCCTAGGCTTAGTGATTTCTGTGTCCTTGCAGTCACCAATGGTGGAATGAAAGGGTGGAATGTTGCACAGCAAAATAAGCCATTTTGCACTGCAAGTCGAGACTACACCAGTGAATTCATCTCTAGATAGAACAGCAGATGGAGACAACCCCCCAGGGATACTGAGCAACTGTAACGCCAGGACAGCACTGCTGCAGGCTCCAAACAACGAGGCTGTACTTACAATTGTGGGCTGAGCAGTTGGAATATGGGTGGTGATCTGTGGCCCAGTTTTATAGGCTGGTTGCTTGTCACACCTGTTGCTCTCTGCAGAGACAGCACAGGCAACCTCAGCAGAAGTCTCAGCTTTTATGTAAATTCCACCTAGTTGTCACTATGATATGAAATTTATGTTGGATGTTTTGTGTCAAAAATCTGCATCTTAATGAATTCACAGGTTACTTCTTTGTTAATAAACCAACTCAAATAATGAACGTGATCGATGTACACATCATGATGGTTCAGGTAGAACATCTATGTGAAAGCAGTTTCAGATTTGTGTAACTGGAACATTCCCTGGCAAGTTCTAGGTCTCACATTCCCTATTTCCCCAGGAACACAAAGCTTGTGCTGCCATAACAACGCACACAAACATTGACTGAGTGAGCCAGAGTTTAACCAACTTCATCAAAGCATTCAAGTGGAACAGCACATCCTTTTTCCCCCTTTTCAAATCTGTTTCCCAAGTTAATCCCTTACATGACATGTCAAGCCCAGAGATCTAACACCAGACAGTAGCAAACGTGTCAAGAAATGAACACAGCTCTCTAGATTACTATGCTTCCCAATTCTACAGGACTATCTCAATGAGACATCATGCTGGAATCACAATACTACAAAATTAGTTTGCTTTTAATATTTTAAAATACAACGAGGCTCCTACTGATGTGGAGGATCATGTGTAAGGGATTGAAGGATCAGCCCCCCCCTAAAATTTTTCAGTTAATAAATCTTGCAAGGGCAGAAAAAAAATGATGCTGAAATTGCTAATAGTCAAGCCCTACCTATAAAGCAGAATCTCTTCTATAAACATTTTCTATATATGCAATGTTAAGTCCCTTTTATCAGAGCATTTGCTCGTCCTTGCCTACTGAATTCTATCAGAGTAGATGCTATGGAGGATTGCGAAACTGCTCCGTTAACTGTAGATCCAGGTGAACTGTTGTATCAGTGTTATGGAACATTGTGGTACCCTAATGGCAGTCTGTGGTGACAAAGTAAGTTGATTTGAATGCAGGTCTTGAGCTTGGCCTCTGAACCCCCAGGCAAGAAGGGCTTGGAAGTGCTGCAGTCAGTATTGCTTATCAGAAGGCAACTTGTATCGAAAGATCCAGACCAGAAGCTACACTGATGGGTCCTGGAGAGAGAGAGAGAAAGAGGTCCAGTCCCCTTTGGCTGGAAGGATGAGTCAAGGCAACACAAGGTTTTATTGGGAATAAGTGAAGGGGAAAGGGTGTTCCCAGAGGACAGAAGGAGATTTTTATATTTTTTTGACAAGATGAAGAACCAAAACCACAACTCCCTATCAGTCCCCAAATCACACTCTTTGAAATATGCAAATGATCATAATTCCTGGCTTATCCAGAGAAGCCTTTAGGGGAAGGTTTCAGAGAAATCTTACACATCATTTCTGTTTCAGGTGACCACACTGATACTCACTGTAACGCTCTCTTTGCTTTTATCAGCTGAACCTTCCTTTTCCTTCGGGGTGCTGGTTGTTTCTGTGGGTGTAGACTGCACACTTGAACTGGGCTGGGATGATTTATTTAATGTTTCTGTGCTAATTTCAGTATCTGTTTCTTGCTGTGTTGCAGTAGCTAAAATAAAGAAGAGAAAGTAGCCACTACTCATGTGAGTCACCCACAGTCCCTTCTCACATGCAGAACTGCCCTGTATCCACTCACCCCAACCCCCTCAGCTGTCAAACAGGTGCCCAGAGCAACATTACCTGACTGTGTGCAAGATTTCATATGCTCAGGCCAGTGAGCTTGTTGGCAGGGATAGTCACAGTAGCTGGTATTCCAACAGCAATAAAAGATGGCCTCTTTCTTGCAGTTGGCACACCACTGCTTCTTCTTGGTTTCATCCACTGCTTGTTGCTTTTCCAGTTCCAGCTGCTTCTTCACCTCAGCAATCAAACGATCGCGTTCCTGTTCCAGACTCTGACGCATTTCAGCCATTGTCAGTTCTACTCAAATGCAGAGAGAGAGAGAGAGAGAGAGATGGGTTTGCATTTTCCAACCCCCAACAGCAAGATGCAAACCAGTAATATTCATGAATTTCAAGACAACATGAAACTAAAACTAATAGTCAAAATATTCCCTGAGTTTGAGCATCTCTGTTTCATACCTACTCAACAAACACAAGTCTTCCATCCTCCTTTCTTATTCTGGCACCATGATTTTCACCCTTAACCATCCTGACTTAATTTCACTGACAGTCTGGCAACAAGGTTGAGTCAAGGTTGTGTACACCCTTTAAGTCAATAAACTGGTCTATACAGCACCAGCTGATCTGAAGCAAAATGCCACCTACAACATATAAAGTGGCTATACTAACAGAACCTGGCTCACAGTACAAAATAATCAGCACAAAATATGCCATGAAGAGAGACTACTCAATGATGCATAAAATAATCATTCTGTACATCAAAAGCTTAGCCTGAATTTCTCTCAGAGGGTTGAACACCTGACTCAAAGGTGTGTCCCAACACCAGCACAGCACACTAGGTAAGGTTTTCTATCCTTCATGTAGACAATCTGTAGCATCATGTGATGCAGGGAACACATACGACAAACATTTCCATTTTTCTACGCAGCACAAAACCTGACACACTGCCTTGGACTGCCATTTTCATACCTAGATTATGCTTCATTTCTGAGAGCTCCTGTTGATGTAACCATTGAAGTTTTTCGATCTCAATTCTCAAGCGCCGAATCTAAACATTAAAAACGTAATAGTTAGTAATAATAAACAGGGTAATAGTAATAATAAACAGGGTGTGGTGTAATATGTAACTGTTATACAGAAAAACATGCCCGAAGCAAAGAGCCTGATCATCACTTACATCAAGGCTTCTTTCAGATTAACATGAGGACAAGACCATAGCAAACCACAAACCAAAGCCTGAAATATTTGTCTGCTAGAACTGCTTGTCATAAAGAGCACAGGATTGTTTGAAAACAAAAATACTTCCTCTTGCTTCCTTTGAAACTGAAACTGCCAAGTTTCAAACTTCTGACTGGAACCAAGAAGCTATTTTTCAGTGCTGTTTGCCATTATTAGTATGACATTTTGGTTTATTTTTAACTTGATTTTTAAACAAAGTGGCAAATTCTCAACAGAAACCTTAAGGAGCTGGGCTTGATGGCTTACTGCTGATCTAACAGAACCCACTGGTATTTTTTCAGTGTTTTTCTCCACCACTCTAGTCATCACTTCTAAAACAGCACAGAAATTAGGATCTCTTGAGTCTCAACATATAACACTTTGTAGCTGTAGTTACCTGGCACTTTTATTTTTAAGTATATAAAACCACTCATTTGCAACTTTCAAAGTTAAAACACCAACCTCAGCTATTGTACTTCCAGTAGTATTTTTTGAGAGATCATTGTATATTTCAGTCATCGTTCCTTTGATGGCATCCATCATCTGAAACACAACAGGAAACAAATCATCCTTTGATATATATTTCTAGCAGATTCCTACTGGCACTTCCTCTCAACCAGCCTAATGTGAACTTACATTCCCGTCAACAATGTCCCATCTCTCTCTATATATGGGTCTACTTTTAGAGGACTATGTAGAAGGGAGAAGACAACACTTTCAGTCAGGACTCTGATTTTTAAGTGTCCTCAACTGGTGGATGACCTGTTTCTACTTTTCCAAGAAATTGCCAGTGATACAATTTACAAATAAAAAATATGTAACTGTGAGTTTGGGGAAGAAACTCAAAGCAAAATTCTATAGTATACACATTGATTTTTTAATTTAGGATCTAAAAGAGTATATGGAAAGCTAATGTCCTTTCCCTCCTTGTCACTACCGTGACACAAGTCCTACACAATCCCACCTCTTTACCAGCTTCACTTCTGGTTTAATGCATGGACACACAAATATGGCAAATTACCACCCAATGAATCTATACAGTGTGTTGAAATAAAAGTATAATTTTGTCTATGTTTTACTGGACACAGATGACAAAACACTGTTTGCTGTAAATACAGTGCTGGGGGAGTATCTACACCTTTAGAAGAGAACAGAAAATGCTCCAAACCAGAATGGAACATAAGTAAGAAGCAGCAGAACTGAGGAGGAAAGGGTCTGAAGTGTCTGAGCAGCTGAAGCCCATCACACACACTCTGGCCTGGAACAGCAGCATTAAGCCAGCTCTAAAAATGTGATGCTGCACTCTCACCATAATCTAGCTGTTCCTACCAACTAAGATGAATCTGCAGCATATGATCACCTAAAAATGAAGTTATTAAAGAATTACTTCACTTCAAAAATCAAATTTCAAGGAAGCCTCACTCAAGAACTTACTTTGCTGGTGTATTTAGCAATATCTGCAGCCACATCAGCTGAGGCTGTTGCAATTGGCAGGTCTGTATTAAGGGAGGAGGAGAGGGTACTTGCAGACCCAGAACTGGTAACCATGGAAATAGGCTGAGTACTTGTGACCAAGGTTATAGTGGATGTGGAAGTGCTCTGGGTGATCTCTTTCTGCTGCACAGCTAAAGAAAGAGAACATGGAGCAGATCAATACATAAGCAATTATGAAAATAAATAGGCAAACTTCTAACTGCAATACAAAACTTCACTGTGAGCAAATAACCATTTCAGACTGGCATTATTTATGAAGTGGTGCTATCTAATGATTACTCACTCAGTGTCCAGGCACTGAGCCTGAACAGAATTATAATGCTTAAAGGTAATAAAGAAAATGTAACTTTGAAACATCATTTTTGACTGGCCAGTGCAAAAGTCTCCCTCCGTTCTTCATTCCTCTAGAAATTCACTTCCTAACCTCTCAACCTGGAGAACTCCCAACTCATATCATACATTTAAGTTAAGACTTTGACATTTTCATTTGTCAGAACTTTGAAAACATATTAGTGAATTTATTTTCTTTTTATTTTGAAACGAGGTTTAGTGAGTCACTGTTGAGGAAGGCTTTGAAATATTTCCTGGTGTAATTCCCACTCTTTTGTTATTAATACTACTAACAATTATTAGTGTTGCAACATGTTTAATACACATATATCCAGATCAGCATTAGCCTTTGGCTGGCTGACTGCAGAGCAAGGAACACAACATCAGATTAACTCACTAGAGCAAAGAAGTTATTAGTGTGTTAACTCAAACAGGATAAAGAAACATTTTCTCATCTTTGGTCACTATTTCAAATAATATTAAACAATGAATAATTAAAAAAAGAAGAGAGTAAAACTCAAAATGTCTTAATTGCCAACAGCCTCAAAACTAGAATCAATGAAATAAAAAACTGACACATATTTATCTCTGTGTCCTAAAATTTTGTTTAGACCAATTCAGTATATCAGAAATCTATAGATTTTGTATTTTCATTTGCTAGATTTCCATTTAAGATGGAAATCTCCATTATATACTCAAAAGCAAACAATATTGCCAAAGCAAACTCACAGGCTGAACACAAAGTTCAGCCCATATCATTAAGGGGCATATTAAAGTATAATTCTATTGAAAATAAGACTTCATCAAGTGTCACATTCATTTTTCCTCACTGAATATTTCTGTATCAAATTTGTGCATCTACAAGCAGAAAGATATCACTTCCCCAACACTGCTTAAATGGCAGACACAAAAGCATTTGGGAGCAGAGAAATGAGTCTCTGGTAAATGTCTGTACGTGAGCCACTACCTCAGCCTCTCTCCTCTAGGACATTACCAGCATGTCTGTGGGGTTAGAGTGGAGAATGTCCATCAGGCACACCAGTAAACACTTCAGTTTATTAACCTGAAATTACAAATTAATCTAATTTACATAAAGCTGCTGCTCTGTGCAGTGAAGCGAGAGCAGCACAGGCTTGAATTACCCTGGGCCTGCTACTGGTGAAACCTCCAGCAAAGGGATGGGAAGAAAACAGTTGTGAAAACATTCTCAAGTGCCAGGGCTGTTTGTTCAGCAAAACAGCATCAAAGCCTTGTTAAACAACAGGGATTTCAAAGACAAATGGAGCCTGGGTGATTTCATTGTTGTCAAATTATAGTCTGAAAAAACATTCAGATCAGCTTCTTGTCAGATAGAACTGGAAGCAATGTGTAGACACTCAGTGACAGTGGTAACCAAGCAAGTTGAATAGTTAATGATTTCATCATAGAATGCAGAAAATAAATCAGTTCCCTCTTCCTCCAAATCTGTCATGGCTAATCGCAAAAATATTTACACAGATACACAAATCTTTTGTCATCAAAGTAAGGAGATGTCTCTAAATACACACCAGAAGGAGCAGGTATGGTGAGTTAGCTGCTGTATTTTAGTCACTTATCAGAGTAGAACCACACTTTGAGATTTTGGTTATATGGAAGAACTCCTGGTTGGGCAGCCTTGGAGCACTGAGATCATTACTGGGGAATTATGGTACCACAGGCACATTGAGTTAGAAAGTGTGTACCTTTAACTGCTTGTCTTGTCTGGTATCTTGTCCCTTGAGAGGACTGAGGCTGCTGTGACTGAGACTGCTGGCTCTGCTGCTGCTGCTGCTGTCTCTGTACCTTCTGCATGTGCCATTTCTGAGACGATGTCTGGAATTTGTTTGAAGAATTCCACACCACACGCTGCACAGCAGGGGCAGTTTCCTTGGGCAGCAGAGGCCTCTGCTTTTTCACAGGGCTTCCCGTGGCTGCAGATGGAGCACTGACAGTGGAAGATGAACTGGTGGTTGCTGTCACACCAGCTGGTGGGGTCTGGGCTGCAGAGCGGGTGAGGACTGGAGTTTCTGGTAGAGGCTGAGAGCTTGCACTGGAGGAGGGTGGAGTTTTACCTACAGCTAAACAAACAAAATGTTATGCCAGCTTTTCACACAGCTGATTCCTAATTTTCCATCGAATTTTTGGAAGAGCCATATATACCTTCCAGTCTGCTTTGAATTATTTTCCTCAAAAGTAATTGACATTCTACAAGTAAAGTCATTTCAGTCTAGTTGAAGTTGGAGGCAATTCAGACGCAGGAGTAGCTAAGCAAAACAAAAGAAAAAGTACAAAGCCCAGAAAAACCAGCCTGACCTCCTTCAGAAGAGATGTGAGAGGTTAGCACTTGTTAGGATATTTCTGGGTTACCACTTACACCTGTCATCCCAATTTCTTGCAAGAGAAAAGAAAACATTCTCAAGGATCAATGACAGAAAGAATAGCACACTAAAAACTTTCTAAACAACACTGAACTGGCATTGACAACCAAATGCAGATGATACCAAGTGGGGAAGGAGTGTTAATCTGCTGGAGGGCAGGAAGGCTCTGCAGAGAGACCTTGACAGACTGGAACAATGGGCTAAGGACAACTGCATGAAGTTCAACAAGGCCAAGTGGCAGGACCTGCACTTGGGTCTAAACTCATTCATTCAAGTTGCTTTCCTCTTTGAGCAACAGAGAAACAAGGCACAGTATCCCAGAGACAACACGTGTGATTTAGCTGTTCTTTTGATTATTACTGACAGCATTTACATAGATTTGAACAGAATCTTGTGCCATTTGTATGCTGGATAAATTCCAACTTCTTCTATACCTGCAGTTTTGGAAGGTCAATGGGAAGGTAAATATTCAACTGAAAGTCAAAACAATTGCAAAACAAACTCTACATTTGTCACAGAGCAAATTTTAAGGATATTTATAGTTCTACACTGCTGAAAGGAAACAATGAAATGTGTTTTGTTTAAACCAGAAACTACAATGAGCATTGAAAACTTTCTTTGTGGTCACAAAGAATGAAAAACCACTCCCGAAAATTGTGCAAAAATAAAGGCAACAATTCTGTCTTTGACAACAGCCCTATACAAAAGGAAACAAAAAAAAAGAATTTCATCCTACCATCTTGCTTAGGAGGAGGTTCTTTAGATTCTTTCTTGTTTTTCCTTCCTTCACGAGCACAATGATCCTCTCCCAGATCTATGACGAGTTCACTCTCAGAATCAGAGTCCAGTCCTAGATGCACAGTTGGAGAGTCTGTTTCATCTTTACCTTTCAGCTTTTCTTTTGAAGGATGTTGTAAACTTTTTCCCTTTTCGGAAAATTCTTTTTCGGTGTCTGAAACTGCCTTTTCCTTGACCGGTTCCTCTGTTTTTTCCACTTCTGGACTTGTGCTTTTAAGTTCCTCCTTGTCTTCGTTCTGTGCTGGAGGTTTAGGTTTTTTTTTCAAGCTCAACGATTCTTTGTCACTTCTTGTACCTTCCTTGTCCTCACCATCATCTTGATCATTCTTTGATTTCTGATCCTCATCACTATATTCGCTGTCACTGGTGTCAGATTTTTCAGAATCTTCAGAGTCACTGTGTTCTACTGCAGTATAAACAGCTTCAGATATTTCATTTATTCCTAATTGTGGGGAGGAAAGTACATTCCATGCTGACATCAGACTGACTGACATTACCAAAAACATACTCTATATACCAGAACATAATGTACACGGATCACTACCTTACCTTGTCAGTCCTTCAGCTGCAAACACTTCCCTTAGTGCCCTATCTCAGTACTTTAACATATAACAATTAACTTCCATATACTCAAATCACTATTTTTCTTTCATTCCATGCTCTCCTTTCACTGCTTTTTACCACTACCTGCACGATTTTTTTGTTCAACTCAGGACCCAACGCTGGCAAATATAGAGAGGATTTCTTTCTATCCACAAGAAACCACCGTAAAAATAAGGAACACTATTCACCTGATGATAGTTGGTAACTTATATCCTCATCTGTGCAACTGACAGACAACTCTGTCCTACTGTCTGCACCAGAATGGTACAAAAACATGTTAAAAGATGAAAGCTTTTTTGACACTGTGTTTTAAAGGGAACTAACTCAGTGCATTCTACTTGCCTTAAAGACTTCAAATATTCTCTGCTCTTGTTTTAACACCGAAAATATTTAAGGTTTTACTCCTAAGAACTTCTTTTAATCTGCAACTCCAAATTTCTCCCAGTGTATCCTTCAAGTGTCCACTGTGTTCCTGAGAGACACTTACCAAGTTGTGCTTTACAGCTTTCTATTGTCTTGTCAAGATTGAGCTGGAACCTACTCCGTATTTGTCTCTTGGGTGAGATGAGCTGCACAGGAGTGCTCTGCTGCTGCACCGACTCACTCAGCTCCTTCAGGTCCATCTCAGCTTTGCTACGATCTAGAAAAACAAATGGCAACTAAGTCAAAGATTTGACAGGAAGAACAGAGATTGCTATCCAGATAACATCAAATTTCACCAAAGAACAATGCAGATGGTGCAAAACATATTTCACTTGTGGATTCTTCCTGCCTGACACTACAGAATTTCACACACAAAACATGTGCACCAGTTCTGTGGATATTTTCCCCATCAATATGAAATTACACAGGTCTGTAAGCTGTGTGACAGCACCTTTACTAAACAGCTGCTGCTATTTACTACTAGTAGTGGTATTTTCACAGAGAAAATGAAACAGAAATAAAAATCCTTGTAGCCATTTAAAAACCCTAAAGTTAAGTCACACAAATACATATAAAAACATGGGCTGTCACCCTGGATTAATAAATTCAAGATAAAATAATACATTTTTCAATATATGCAAGCAAAATCTTGAGGTTTCATGTACATGGATTTTCACTCTGAAACAAACATCTGTCTGCAAAGAGTACACACTATAGTGCTAAAGCTAAAACTGTCTTAGCAACTAATTTTCACATTTTTGCTTCAATTTTGACATTTCAGAGCCTGTATTTCTGTAGCAGTCCTATCCTTTACTCTTTGCCAAGAGTGCTGACACTCCGTTAGTGCTCAGGGCACTGAACCAGTTGGAGTGAGTTGGGGGAAGATGACATAAAGAAGGGGGAAGGGCATGGAGAGAAGAATTATGTTTGGCCAGTTGAACTCCTTGAACTGGCTCACAGTAGGATCAAAAGAGCCAATGCCATATGCTGGGAAAGGCCAGAGGTCATGGAGAAGACAAAAGGCAACACTGGCACAATGTCCATTTGTGCTTTGTTTAAAGTTTCACTCCAGAGCAGCTAAAATGGCAGAGTATTACCTTATTTTACTTCTTAAAATCTCTCAGACATTTTCTGTTAATGCACAACTCCAAGAAAAGTGAAATAAACACAAAGGGCTGAGCAAATGTTTCCTCTGACCAGACATCCTTAACAAGTTTGAACTTTATATCAAGGCACATTCCACATTTAAAATTCAGAGCCACAATGACTCTGCACTTCAGCAGTGCAGTTGTCTCAGTCAGGCTTGGCCACTCTGTCTCCTATCAGGTTGCAAACAGATTCTCCATTACAGATAGAGCAGGTACAGAAGTATTTGTGTACTCATGTGGTTTTTGTTTCCTGCTAGAACAGTGATTCCTCCCTCATCTCTCCCCAGCAACAGGCAGCACCTGGTGTGGTGCAATCCCACAAGCCAAAGGTACTAGCTCTTATTTGGACCACCCTGGTTTGTACTAGAGATGCATTGCAGCAAACACAAATTCAGCTGAAAGAACATTCAACTGACCTTTCTAGTTCCAGAGAAATGGTCATAAAAGCAATCCTGGATTTCACATCCTCATGTCACATATTCGCACTGGAAGGGACTTTAGTTCCATAATACAAACTTCATTGCTTTCAGGGCAGTGTAAATTTTGAAAACAAATATGGAGGTTCTAAGTCACTTAAGCACTTGTGAAAAATTCGTTCCTTGTATAGGAATGTTTAGTAAATTAGGCTTTTTCTTCCTGTGCTAACTGTGCGACCCAACGCACACCAATTCCACAGCAGTAACAGTTACATCACCCTTGGTACAGCATTTGTTCCAAGACCACCATAACCTTAGATAGCTACATGGCAGGATACAAACAGAAGAAAAGCTTGAGAACAGAGGAAGATGAAGACATGATGCTATAATCCCTCCACAGGGAACCCTATGTCCTAATATCAGACAGAAGCCTTGCGATCCACGTTTCCGTATCCAACCTCCAAGGAGGTCTCACTGATGTCGATTCCCAATCTGCCTCATGAATGTAGAAGTATTAGGAAAAACAAAACAGAGCCAAAGGGCAGAGGAACCTATTGGGGAGAAATCTTCAAGTTCTCACCTCCACAGCCTTTACTTGTTCTCATTACTGATCTGAAAATTTTTACTCCTTACTTGTTGTTCCTCCTTTTCTGCCTCTGTTATGCAAGGGCAGGTCCAATACTATCACAAACTTGTCTTTTTCCAAGCAAACCTTGGATATCCTGCTCATTCACACTTCTGTTTTCCAATGTACCCAGTCTGCCAATAACAACAGATGGCTCATTTCTATTACTTATCCTTCCTTATTGCTGAATCACAGGATCATAGAGTCCTTCTAGTACTCTGCTCAAGATACACAAGTGTCTTTGTTTTCTGGACTTTCACTTTTGTGTTTGGAGAGAGAAACCCTGTTCACATTATGTCTGACAATAAGACTGGAAACCATAACATTCACATACGAATCCATGCCTGGCACAGCTGGCTCTGTTAAATGAAGAAGAGTTGCCATTTGCATCCCTGTCACCAAAGGAAATTCCCCTAAAGCTGAACAAATAACTGATACTCTACTTGAAAGCAAATCAGCAGTTCTTTTATGGGATTGCTCATGGACCATAACATAGGATTTTCCAATCCACACTATTTATTCCAAATATTCTATGCTCCAGCTGATGTCTCCCATCTGTGGCACAAACAACTGCAGTAACTGGTATTTCTTAATGTGTTTCCAAATGCATTGTCACCTCAGATGAGATGACAAACAGCTGCAGTGCAGCAGAAAAATTAATTCCACGCAGATAGATTAAGACACTGAAAAATACATTTCTGAGGACTCAGAGTGTCTGCAAGGCACTGAAGACATGAATTCAGCACGTGAACTCAAGCCTTCCTGAGCTCTCTGGCTAACACCAAGGGGCAGAATCCCACTTCTCTGTGTAGTATCATGTGGAGGTGAAAAGCAGCCAGAACTGAATCAGAATACTCACAGGAACAAAGCATGACTGAGGAAACTGATTTACATCCATTTGGCTTTCAGAACTATTTTACCAACTTAGTACTTACCAAAATTCCACAATCCCAAAATTTACTTCTAGGGAGTTTCAAGACATCTGCTAATTCCTTTCATCCATCTATCTCCCTAGAGAGGGATGGTCAGTGAGGAGGTGATGTGAAGGCAGCAAGAGAGAAGCCCTAGTAAATCCTAAATCCTAAAGATCACAAAAAAACCTTGCCAGCAATTCACTTGAGACACTGAGTGGTGAAGAGCAGCAATGTTCATGTAATTACAACCTTTAGAAACTTACCTACTGTTTAGAAACATTCAGTTTGCACAGTTCAGCTTAAAAAAGATCCCATCCTTTAACTACTTCCTTGTATCAACAAGAAGAAACAATAACAGAAACTTTCTTTTATAAAAAACCCCCACCAAACAGCAATTTCAATGAAACAGTAATTATACGTGCTTCATTTAAATACCTTTGTTCAATTAAAGCCACATACAAAAAAGTTTGTTCATACTATTTTGCAGTGACACCACCATAATTCTTGTAGCTCTAAGATCATTAGTTTTTCAGAGGTCAAGACTAACCAAGGTTAAGATTCAGAATGCTTCCTGGAGTGGAAGTTCTTTCTTGCTTAGCAGAAATTGGTGTTGAAGCTTGAGGAGAGAATGGTTTGGGGCTGCCTGACAAGCTCCCTGCTTGACCTGTTCTTGCTGGTGCTGGAGAAGCTGAAAAAGTACAAAATTAATAAAGATATATTTAAAACTAGAATATCTCCTAAATGTGACAATTCTATCTGTATTTCACCCACTCTACATTCATTCTCATACTTACAACTATTTCCCCCTATTTAAACTGAAGGGATCTGGTCACTTTCTCAAGATCATTTATTCCTTCTCAATGTGACAGAAAGAACTACTGTTTCTTATCTATCATACTGCAAGTTAAACTCATCCTTTTCCTAAAATTTCTTCCAAAACCAAGTCACAATACAGCCTGTCTTTAAAAGGTATGGAATAAAACTAGTGCATTACATGACTTGGCATTTGGGTATCCCTGTATTTTTTTTTTTTACCTGTATTTTTCTCAATAAAGTCCATGGATTCTTCACTGGCACTAAAATGACTGGAAGTTGCTTTTTTATCTGCATCCTGTTCCACATCAGATCCAGTGTGAACTGATGAGTTTGTACTCATTGGTGACCGTGGCATATCTGTCAATGAAATCCTACGGCCTGTACTACTGCTCAGCATGGACTTGCTCATCAGAATCTTGGGTGATGCTGTCATATCAAAGTTCAGTTTGATTTTCTCTTGTTTGTCTGTCTTTGCAGTTCCAGCAGTTGGGTTTGCAGGGTCTAACAACATTTGGTATTGATTGTTGGGAGTATATGGTGTCCGGAAAGGTGCGTAATTAAATACTCCAAATTTTCTACGAATGTTATCAACATAAACCTCCATTTCTTGCATTGCACTATTGAAGATGCTTTTAGTCTTTTTCACAGAAAAAGGAATTTCTTTAGACATGAGGTAGCAATTATTTATTGGAACCCAGGCCCTATGTATAAAACAAACAGAAAAATAACATTTCACACTGTGGACTGACATTGGCAACTTTTGTGCACATAACAATTTATTCTAGCCCAATCACAAAGATTTGCACATCTCAGACCATTTCAAAGAACTTTCCCCAGACTCTTAATAGTTCAGTGCTTAATTTTGGTAAGTAAGCAAAATGCAAGGCTTAGATTATCACTAGCTTATTTCACTTTACCTAGTAGCACATAAAACATGAATAAACACTGGTCAAATATGACAAAATGCATCTAATTAGAACAGTCTTGTGTAACTGTGAGACAATCACTGCTAAACACT